ATGTAGCTCCTCCTGCATTGCCTTGATCCATAGATCATCCTGTAAGGCTTCTTTAACATTTCTGGGTTCTATCTTTGAGGTATAACAAGCAGACCCAGATACTTCTGTCAGATTATTTCTTATTCTACTCCTGGTCTTCATCCCATCTGATGGATCTCCAATAATGTTATCTGATGGATGGTTTTTCTGAGTTCTGGTGGGTTTGTCTCTACCTGTATCATTTATGAGGTTTGTCTCTTGATCCAAACTTTCTTGATCTTCATCTGACGATTCTTGTGGTTTGGGCTGACTGTTACTATTAGTGGCAATTGGATCACTGAGAGGAAGTTCTGTCACTGAATCTGTCACTGTTGTGTCTACTGACTCTTCTGGACTGTCATCTATAACCACATTTATTGACTCCATCACAGATTGAGTCCTCTTGTTGTAGACTCTGTAGGCACGACTGTTTGGAGAATATCCAAGGAAGATACTCTCATCACTCTTTGGTTTCGAACTTCCCTCTTTGTTCTCTATCAGCTAGCGCATAACACTTTGTCCCAAACACATGAAAATACTTAAGATTTGGCTTCTTACCCTTCCAGATTTCATATGGTGTTTTGGTTGTTCCAGGTCTAAGATATACCCTATTTATGGTATGACAGGCTGTGTGTACTGCTTCAGCCCAGAAGCGCTACGGCAGATGCGAGGCATGTAGCATAACTCTAGACATTTCTTGTAAAGTTCGATTCTTTCTTTCCACTACTCCATTCTGTTGAGCAGTTCTAGGGGCTGAGAACTCATGTGATATACCGTGCTCGGAGCAGAAATCTGAATATAGTGAGTTCTCAAATTCCTTTCCATGATCACTCCTCAATCTCTAAACTTTTATTATAGACTCATTCTTTTCCTTCTGAACTCTTATACACAGAGTTTTAAAGGCCTTGAAAGCTTCTGTCTTTTCTCTCAGAAAGTATTCCCAGCTGTATCAAGAGAAATCATCTACACACACAAATATGTATTTCTTTCCCCCAATGCTTTCAGTCTGTGTTGGTCCCATGAGGTCTATGTGAACAAGATCTAGGCACTTCTCAGTAATGATGCCTCTTACTACTTTGTGTGGAGTTCTGATTTGTTTCCCAATAGCACATGCACCACAGATTTTTTCAGGATCTATTCTGATCTTAGGTACACCTTTCACTGCTTCCAGTTTTATCAACTTATCCATATCTCTGAAGTTTACGTGACCCAGTCGTCTATGCCAGAGTTTTGATTCATCAGATTTGGATAGGTGACAAGTAGTTTCATTTGCCAAAATATAACAATTGTCTGAGGACCGAGTTCCTTCCATGACAAGCTGATTTGCTTTGTCACTAACTCTGCAGCAGTTACGATCGAAGCACACATTCCAATTTTGATCACACAACTGACTGATGCTAATTAGATTCGCTTTCAACCCACTGACTTGCAGGACTTCTTCTAATTGAGGTAAACCTGGTACATTTAGGATACCTTTCCCAACTATTCTCCCTTTTTGTCCATCTCCATATGTTACAGCTCCACTGATGGGTTGAACAGCCATCAGACACTTAACATTTCCTGTCATATGTCTGGAACACCCACTGTCAAAATACCATCTAGCATCAGTTGTAGATGCAGTCAGAACAATGGTGGGGAAGCAGATAACTTCTGACTTCCTGACCCAAACCTGTTTAGTGAATGGTGTAATGGACTTATTATGATATTTTTCCTTCCTTTGATCTCTGTAGAAGAAATAACACTCAGGTCGAGTATGACCTTTTGTTTGACAGTAGTGACAAATAGGGGTGTAATATTTAACTTTGACAATCTTATTTTTGAACCTTGAATAATGAGATTGATGAGTTAATCTAGACAGGCCAGTATCAGCAGTCTGGTCGTACCTCCTTCCCTTGTTCTGCATTGACTGAGATGACTGTCCTTGTTCATAGTTGTGATCAGCTGTGGTCTTAGACATACCCTCTTTGATGAACTTAGGTGCGTTATTCGAAGATTCACCTCGTTCAAATCCTAGACCCTTTTTATCATTAGGATTTCTGCCAGAGTCTAGAATCTTATCTAGGGTAGATGTGGTGTCCATCATCTGGATATTTTTCTTCAGACTCTCCAATTCCTTGACCAGTTTTCCTTCTCTGGACCTTATCTGAGTGATGAGATCTTCTTTTATGACTAGATCAGTATTCAGTTTCTTTAGAAGATCATCTCTTTGCTTCAGCTCATCATTCAGATTCTTATTCACTTTCACAAGTTGTTCCCAGCTAGCAACAAGTTTTGCAAATTCTGTTTCAAGTTGAGTATGTCTCTCTTCAAAATCGTCAGTCGATATGTATGATTCTTCATCTGATTGGTCTCCGTCTGACTGAAGGTCTGTAGCAGTAAAGAAGGCTACAAAGTTTCCCACGTTATCATCTGACTGATCATTTGAAGTTTCCTCCTCATCGTCACTTAAAGTAGCTACAGACATAGCCTTTTTCCTTTTGAGATACGTTGCACATTCAGCCTGTATGTGACCATATCCTTCACATTCCCTACACTGCACTGACCGGTTGAGAGATTTACCCGTGTCTGTGGAACTGGTTCTGTTTTGTCTTGATCGACCAGTCTGAGGTTGATTGTTCTGTGAGAAATGTGCTGTTTCAACCTTTTGATATGAGGAGTTGTTGCCTTTGTATTGAGTTCTGGTAGACTGACCTTGACCTTTTCTGTTGAAACCTTTTAAGATTTTCTTGAAATTCTTAGTTAAAAGTGCCAAGGTTTCATCATCTATGTCGTCTGTGTCAGATTCTCGATCAGCCTCAGCCACAAAGGCCACTGACTTTCCTTTTCTGTTGCTTCCAAGATCATCATCAGCAAAAACTTCTAGTTCATATGTGTGTAAGCTTCCCATAAGTTCTCCGATAGTCTTCTTTTCCCAACCTGTGTGTTCCTGAATAGCAGTTACTTTCATTCGAAAGCGTTTAGGTAAAGATCGAAGGATCTTTTTTACCACTCTTTCATCAGTGAAAGGCTCTCCAAGGATTGAGGCTCGGTTCATAAGATTCTGAAGCCTACTGTGGAAGGTCGAAATGGTTTCTTCTTCAGTCATTCTGAGTGCCTCGAATTCTGACAGAACCATTTGTAGCTTTGACTGTTTGACATCACTAGTTCATTCAAATCTGGTTTCAAGAATTTCCCATACCCGTTTAGCCTCTTTTACTCCTGTGACAAGAGTAAAAACAGATTCATGCAAAGATCCTACAATTGAATTTAATGCCTTGTTGTTTAGATCTGAGGCATTCATTTCATCGTCTGTCAAAGTCTCCATGGGCTTATCTTCAGTAACTCCTTGTGCATTCTGAGTAGTGGGACGACTCCACCCAGTTAGGACAGTACAATAAACCCTGGTACCTTGTGCTTGAAGATATATCTCCATGCGAGCCTTCCAGAAGGAGTAGTTATGACCATCTAGTTCTGGTAGTTTCATACTTGCATCCATCTTGAATACAAACAACCAGCCAACGAACACACAGAAAAAACTTGCGAAAGACAGAGAGAATGCAAAACTAAAAAACAACCCGTCGGATCAAGTCACTATGTAGACCTAAAAGCTCTGATACCACATGAAATTTTGCATATTCCCTTTTTAGATCAATTAACAGGATTAATCAACTGTCAGAGATTACTGATTGATTCAGTTACGAAGTCAGTCAGTAATAATAAATCGTGGAGAAGATGTAAGAGAAAGATAACAGCACAAACCCAATGACACAGAATATTTACCCATTTCGATACAGTGTGTATCTACGTCTGGGGGACGATCACGTAGGCGTCCAATCCACTAAATCATAATCCAATGTACAGAGGTAGATATACAATAATCTTACCCAAGTGCCCCACACAAGGTACATACCCAGTCTACATAGGTTTAGTGGATTGTTGAAGATGGAGAGCCATGCATACAGAAGTCCAATGAAATCCCTTCACTTGGAGAGCCCACTCTGATGCAGTCCACTTCAATGACGCTCTTTACAGTTGTTTCCACAACAGTGTGATCACAGTGTCCTTTCGTTTAAGCAGTAGTGATTCTTCTCAAGTTCATCATCTTAATCACCATGAACATATTGTATTGAGAAGATAGATGGAAATCAAAGATCTAATCTCATATAGCAGATCGGGAGTGTTTCTTCATACTTTCGGCGTAACCCTAAATCTCTTCGAGTACGGGTACTTATAGATTCTTCAATAAACTCTCTCCATAAAAGACTTTGATTGTAGAAGGTAGGACTATAAAAGGGGAATGTAATCTCAGAAGATTAGGTCCATACCTTTCTTGAAAATATACGCTGATCTTCTTTCCAAACTTGTCTGATAATACCGCGTAAGCCTTTTAGAAATCAGCTTCCTAAATAAGATCTTCAGTGTCAGTCCTTCTGTTGTTGCGTCTGATTGATCAGTCGACTGTAGAGCTGGACGGACAAACTCTAAACCTATCTTAGTTATGTCATAATAATATCGCCAATTATAATATGGAGTTTTTGAACATTAAAAACACTAACAATAATAATAATAATAATAATAATAATAATAATAATAATAATAATAATAAATAAAAATAAAAATAAAACCTCATTCAGACCCTACAAGTGAAAAAAAAATGAAGGTAAAATTAGTTAATTTAGTAGGTTAACATGTAAAAGTTGAATTGGTTGTGAATTAATACTAAATCTAAAATGATAAGGAAGTCAGACTTGAAGCAAGGAATTGACACCTTTTGTCAGCTGGCAATTGTTTTTACTGTTTTTTTTTTTTTTTTTAATTTTAAAATTTTAATTTGAGTAGACTAGAAGCAAATTAAGATTCCTAATCCAAGTAAACATGAGGAAAGGAATCAAACATAAAAATAATAGAATGATGAATTTGATAAGTAATATTTGATTCCTAAATTGATATTGCTATATAAGAGCTAAGGCCGAGTATTAAAACATATACATGTCATAGGAAGAACATATCCTACAAAGTTTAGTAACTCTAAAAAATCAAACCAAGCTAATTAGCTCCATTTCCTACTGTGAATCCATGGCAACTCAATCACAGCCATTGATTTCACAACCACCAACAGCCATTGATGATGACGCTGCAATCGCAGATGAAGTAATGGCTACTCATCATTCCAATGGTGCCACCAATTTGAATGCAAATTTTGTTTTGAGCTATGCTGAAAATATTCTCAACTTTAACCACCTGGTTTGTCAACTTCACTCTAATTCCATCATATCTATATATATACTCTATTTTTACATTCTATTTGATAGTTTAATTTTATGTTAACAAAAGTGCATAACATCACTCCGGCCTTTATTACCACTAATGTAATGTCTATGACTAAATGTTACTAGGTTTCTGGAGAAGTTGAGAAAGACATATTAGTGCCACAAAAGCACATTCATAAGGAACTCCCATACCAAGTGATACAACTTTCTTTTGAGGTAATTTTTAGCATTATATTTGGCACACTATATATATGGCTCCTCATTGCAGGCATTTGTTTAAGTTCGATTAAAAATATTATTTAAATGTAATTAGTGATGAACGTAATATATATATGATCAATGATAATATGTTCTTTAAGAGAAAACTAAGAATCAATCTCAGCCTTACATCTCGAAAAATCAGGCGGATCCGATCAAATTTTTTAAAAATAAAATTAAACACTAAAATATGCACTTTACAGAATGTATATTATTTAATTGTTCATGTCTGTATAGTAAAATTGGTTATAATTACAAAAATGTCACTTTAATCTCATCAGATTTGTCGAATTTTTACAATTGTAAAGCCGAAATTGATTCTTAATCTTCTCATGGGATCGTAAGACTATATATATATGTGTGTGTGTATGAGATTCAACTATATATCATCAGCTTAATTTTTTATTTGAGACAGAAAGAATACTTCAATTATTAACATTGCAAATTTTTACTTTGTTTAGTATATTAAATATTTGTATTATTCTCATATTATTATTCTGTGACCTAGACGATTATTATATTAATGTTTTCTTGATTTAAATTATTACATATTTCCGTTATATTATCTTTTACAGGTTGCGTTTAAGTGTTTGAATAATATTGATTGTCACTGGGCAACAATCCATTTGCTAAGCAAGCTATCCACCTACCCTTGGGACACCAAGGCAGTCATGATGCTTGCAGCATTTTCCTTAATCTCTGGACATTATTTCATCACTGTTTCTCATCGCCCAAAAAAATTAGCAAACATGTTGGCAATTTTCAAGAAAAATCTAATTGCGACTACACCATCTTCTCATATTGAGAAATTAGTTGGCGATAATGATTCTATCATCAAGTTCATTCTCGATCTCGTCAAGTGTGTGAGTGAGCTTAATCAACCACCATCTTTCACAACCGCTAGTTTTGGCGACTTATTGGATTACCAGGAACATTCTTGCTTGTTCCCAGCGTATTCTTTGTGTTGATAAGTATTTAATATAATTTAACATCAAATCTATTATTTCCTACATGCTCTAGAGATTATTGTCTAGCACACCCTTAGTGTCTGGATCAACTCTTAGAACTACTATATGCCAAAAAGCTATAGTTAATAAAGTAACGAAGAGACAACTTTATTGCTAAGGGCGGATCCATAGTCTAGGGCTCTAGGCAATGGAAGCTCTTATGCATATGCATAGTAAACGTTTATAAGTATTAAATATAAATAAATTTTAACAAAGGATGTGCTAACTTAGATGGTAAGACATATGATCTCTATCTTAAATTAAATGCCAAGAGTTTGACTACTAGTGCATAGATTTTTTTTTTTATTTTTTTTATATTACATTTTGATGTAATTTGATTTCTATCCTTAGTCAACAATATTTATGGCTCGGCTTCTAAATTATTATTATTATTTTATTTTATTTTATTTTATTTTATTTTTTTCAAAATATTTCATTAGTTCGGCTCTAACATTTCTTTTTCTTTTTTTTTTTTCAAAATATTTTAGAAGTTTTAATTTATAGCTCGGCCTCTAAGTATTTTATTTTTCACAAAATATCTTATTAATTTTAATCTTTCGTCCCCGTTGGAAAAGAAGATATCTAGATCCGCTCCTATTTATTTATTTATACTTGCACAATAGCAGGATGTTAGTTACACTCAGCTCTCCAACACCAAGAGTATAAACCTTTTTAATTAGTGCGATAAAACCAAAAGGTTAAGTTTATTAATTAGGGTTTCTAATGTTTCAACATATATTATATATTCTCTTTCAGGTCCAAAAATGAGACAATGGAAGAATCCACTTTAATTGCCAAATCCAAAACCATACTCTCTGCTTGTTATGCGCTACTAGGTTTGTGCCAATCAAATGATAGCTTTCAAACAATTTAATTGCCAAGACCAAAACAAAATTTGATCCTTGTGTAAGTTGTGTTGTACGTGTTTTAAGTGTATTAATTATAGTTTTGTATTTGCAGAGGCAAAGAGAACAGAGAAATCTTACGAAGCGTTATTGCATGCTTTTAGTCATTCTCATAATAACCTTGAAGTTCTCAAGCAAATATTCAACATCAATAATGATTCCGAGAAGATATTTCAGCACTATGTCGTAAGTATTTGAATTTTATTCTCCTAAATAAATATATTCAAACATAAATTGTGCATGTGATTTGGACATTACATACCAACCATTTTTTTTATCTTCTTCTTTCAAATACTACCTATTTTAAAGCAACGGATCAACCCCAACCAAGTTGGTCATGCTATTAATAGCGAGTACTACTGATGTAATCTATTACAATGTAGTATGAGTCAATACCGCACCACTGAAGCTCAAACGAATGATCCTATCACTACTACACAGCAGGCCTTTAACGTCGGCTATTAGGGCTTTTAACGTCCGCTATTTAGGACTTTTAGGGATAAATGAAATTAAGAATTTAGGGATTAGGATTTAAGATTTGAGTAATAGAACCAACCTATAGCGCAGCAGGGACGAATCATCTACCATACTCCGATTAACAGAAGTAATCAATAACTCAACCACACAAGTAAAACAGACTACGAATCATCTACCATACTCCGATTATCATGACTTATGAATGCAACAAGATCAGAATGAAATGGAAGGTGACTTGTTATACAATGCTAGTCTCAAAAATCAGCCACAAACTAGAACATCTAAAGAAACAACTAGCAATAGGAATATTATCCTAAAATTTGAAAGGAGCTTATCGTAATGAGTTACGCAAGAATGTACAGTACTAACCATAATGGCTAAAAGAACAAATCGGTTGATCTTTGAACAAACCATGGGAAATTGCTGCACAAATATCTAATTTTACTCATTACAACCCACAACATCATCTCAGGTACGGACCTACATACTCAGATCAGATCTGAGATTTATTTTAAGAAATAATAAAAAAAAAAAAACAAAACAAAACAAAACAAAACAAAAGCAAGGACAGATATGAGATTTACCTTTGGTGCGGCGGTGCGGAAGGGGTGCGGCAGTGCGGAAGGGGTGCGGCGGTGCGACGGCAGGAAGGTGTGCTATGCGGTGGTTGTGCTGTTGTGAGAAGAAGAGGACGACGTCGGGGGCAGAGGTGGCTGTGCTGGGCTGCGTGAAGGGGTGCGGCGGTGGGAAGGGGTGCGGTGGTAGTTACGGTGTGCTGTGGTGAGAAGAAGAGGACGACGTCGGTGAGATGTGAATAGCTTTTGACAGTGATGAACGGAGATTAAATTTAAAAGTTTTTTTTTTTCGAACAACCTACAACGTCGGCTATTCTAATAGCCGACGTTGTAAGGTTTTAAAAAATATAATAATAAATCATACAACATCGGCTGTGCAAACAGCCGAAGTTGTAGATTAATTATATAAATTAAAATTTAAAATTAATTACCTATATAGCCGATGTCGTATGTTTACTAATTTTTTTTTATTTTTTTATTTTTTACTTATAACGTCGGTTATTATCTATTAGCCGACGTTAAATGTTTTTTAATTAATTTTATATATTTAATTAACTTTTAACATCAGTTATATTAATAACCGACGCTAAAAGACCGACGTTAAATGTGAATTTTGTAGTAGTGTATTTGAAAAAGCAACTTCGTGCCACTAGACCACAAAGTTATTGGACTTCTTAGTTTGAGCCGGTCAGCTATGAGTAACCTAGGCTGGCTTAACTCTTTGCGATCCTTTGCTAGTTAGAACCACAAGACAAGGTTTATCCCGCGTATACCCTCTCATTACTTAAAAAAAATTATGTAAAGGAGCAATAGTCGAAGTAGTGAACATGAAATGTTCTACTCCATATTTTCTACTTCCTTACAAATAAAATTGAATTACATAGTAGAACATATTGCCTAGTAGGCATATTGCCTTTAAAAAAAAATTAAAAAAAAAAGAAGAAAAGAATTACATAGTAGAACATTAATTTGTAAATATTTGCAACTATATCTAAATTGATTTTTGTAGTCCTAAACTGTTCATATTATTTTATGTATACTATGCATAGGATTTATTTTCATTAGATATTATTTTTATTATTATTTACTATTTTTATCATTTTGAACAAAAAATAACAAAAAAAAATAGAATTAACTAAAAATATATTCTTAATTTTCTATTAAAAAGACAAATTATTTACATGCATAATAAATAATTTAAATTAAATATAATATGTAACAATATATTAATCTAAACTATCAATATGGAATCAATTGTTTACAAATATTAACAAAAATATAGTAGGAAAAAGAAACTCCAAGCACCACCTACTAAAAAAACTCTATTTTAATTTTAGATATAAATGTACACTATCTCAGATAGGAATAACAATTTGCTCCATTTATGATCGGAATTCCCGATTCCCTTCTCAGAGAGTACAACAACCACCTCCAACAATGACAACAGCAATGGAACAGTACATGGCAGTTATGGCAGTTAGTTAGTTAGCTGATTAGTTAGCTATAGCTTTCTCTCCTTAGCTGTTAGCTTTCTTTCTTCTTTGTTCTCTGTTATATCCTCTTCTTCATCTTGTATAAAAACCAGCTTCTCATCTCTCTTCCAATTAATGAAAATTCAACCTTTCTTCTCAAACTGTTTCAATCCCCTTTCCCTTTCCAAATCCGCAACATCCCTCCCGTACGCAAATAGGGATGCGGAAAATTTTCGGAGAATCGGGACTGAATACACCACCTCCCTGGCCCGCCCCATCCTCGAATAAATATTATAATTTAAAAATTATATATATATATATATATATATATATATATATATATATATATAAACTTAAGTATTTTATTTTTGAAAATTAAAACTTATGTTTTTAATTTATTATTATTAAAAATTGTACTAATTTTTTTGAATGCTACTGACTCTATTACACTACTGCTTTCGAACTCACAACCTCTCATATGGGAGTCCGACCCGGGTGCCATTAGACTACAAGGTCTTGGAAAAAAAAACTGGGACGGGGAATTCCTGTCCCCGCCTTATTCTTCGTGGGGACGAGAATGAGAAATATTTCTAATTTTTGGCCTAGAATGAAGTCGGGATCGCGGGGACAGAGAGGTGGAGTATACTTCCCGCCACGTTGGCATTCCTAGTCTCTATCTTATATTCGCACTTATTATTAATGTTATTTTAAATATTTGAAAAAAAAAACAATATTAGAACAAAATTATTATGGCATGCATACTGTTAGACAATTTCAGAAATTTATAATGAAGTTAACCTGACCTCTATAATATACATATCAGTCGCGGGTTCCATTCATTCAATTAAAAGACACGAGGGTGCTATTGATAATAGTGTCAGACACAAATCTCTCTGAGGCCGCTTTTCTTTGCCATCACTTGTCCAAGTTCAATATTAGCCCTCGGACTATTTTGATTCCAATTATAAATTATCCTCAAGTTTGGATTGAAGCAAGGATGCCATCACTAATTAAGGGATTTAAGTTGTTGGATCCTTACAAAAGAATTACTCCTCAATTCATTAGATTTGTGAAGGAGAGATGCGTTCCGAGTTTTCAGGGTGATTGGGAACCTATTGTTATTTCACTTGACAGTCGCGGAAGACTAGTTCATACTAATATCATCTCTTTGTTACAGAAAGAGTTGACGGAAATGACTTTAGGTGTTGGTTCTGTCATTGATGATATTGAGGAGAGGAAACATGACTTGGTTGATCACATTAAAAATACAATTGACGATTGGAGAAATGACATTAATATGAGGATAAAAGATTCGGTACATTCCTCCCCCTCATTTTTTTTCTAATTAATTGGTATATATTGTTTCAAGTCAAAAGCTAAGTAATCTTTTTTTATTAATATTTATTTTGTTATTGTTTAGGATTCTTCCTATACTTACAGTAGTAAGAATGAAGAAATGCTTTGGTATAAAGAGACATGGAATATTAAACTGTTGGGACGACACTCCAGGACAATTCAACGGTTGTTGGGTAATGACGACAGCTATAACATAGATAAGTGGATAGAAACTTGGGTAAGTCCATTTTCAAGCGCTCAACTCGCTATAATTGAAACTACAATAACTAATATGAATGGAATAAGTAAACAATAGATTTTAAATTGCATATTGTCCACACCCTAACAAAAATATTATTTGAACATTTTGATGCTTAAGCTTTAATTTGTGCTAGGCATTTTATGACCTTGTAATAATTTTTTATTATTTTTATTTTATTTTTGAACAGGCTACATGGAAATATGACATTTTCTTTTGTGGAGGGAATGACGCTAAATTTATTCAAGAATTCGCAACTAAAGTGAAGGAGGTTAATTCTGAAATCCAACCGAATATCAAATTTGCATACATTGGAAATAACAAGAAAGCAAAGTCACTTGTGAAAAGTATAAGTGGTTATGCACTTCGTTCTAATAATGCAGAATATTTGTGGTTTTGGACACAACTTTGCAGTGCATTCCTATCAAGAATTTATTATTTAAATAAGGGTGGTCGTATTGAAGATGAGGACAAAAATTTTCTTGGACTCTAAAAGTTACTAGCTTACGAAGCTAAAAGCACAACATTTGGAGCATGGGTTTTGTTAAGCAAAGGGGAAGAAGTAATAGCATGTGACTTAGGTGACAAAATGATGAAAGTGATGAATGCGTACCAAAAATGGAAGAGCAATATACACATCAAAGGTTTCAGCTAAGCATTCAAAGATTGTTATGAGAAGCTTGCTTCTTCTCAGGGTCAACATTCTTGTTGTACTCTTGAATATCCATTAACTTTAGATAAAATACCAGACGATGTGAAGTGCCCTCAATGTTCTTTTAATATGCATAAATTTGTAACTTTCACATGTTATCATGACTCTCACCATGGCTATGATGATGACTACTAATAAATTATTGAAGCCCTTTCTTGATATTTAATTATGTCCTTTTCTGGTGTTTAATTTCAATTATGTTGTTAATTTTGCTTGTTATTTATTTTGTAAAAATAAGTATAGAGAAATGGTCACATGGTGAAGTCTAAAAGACATGGAGTTTGGTGGCTACTTTTTATGGAAAATTTGAATTAGCTAAAAATGTTATTAATTTTTTTTCTGTTTATTTTATAGTTCCCATACATGTTTTAAATATTTTCAACTCTTCAGTTTTCTTAATTGTCTATTTAAACAGACTTTTGTATTGAGATGTTCAAGTTTGAATATAATTGAAAGTTTTGAGTCTGAGTTATATTGTTTGTGTTCTTCCTGTTCTCCTTGTCCTGCATCAGTTGTTATCAGAGCCTCAAGTTCCTAGGCGACAATCGAGATAGCGACATAGCCCTCTCCACTTGTCACGACCCAAGATGGCACAAGGCAGTATCAACAACAATGGTAACAACCCATCCTTCGGCGGTGACCATGGAATGGATTGCCTTCGGGCAGCTTTTCAAGTATATAGTGAGAATGTTAATCACGAGTTTCAAGAAATTCGTAATATTCTCGCAAATATAAACCTTCAATTAGAAAGTAATGGTGCAACCCCGGGCATTATGAGTGACTGGAATCTGTAGGCGAAGCACGTGAGCAGAAATCAACAGCATCTCCATTACCATCCAAATATTAAGCTACACACTTTTAATGGTAATGTGGACACAAAAGCCTTTTTGGACTAGTGCTTTGAAGTAGAGCACTATTTAGACATGCTGGAAATCCCCCATGACAAGCAAGCCAAATATGTTGCGGGTAAACTGAGAGGGGGAGCCTCTTCCTGGTGGGATATGTTGCAAAATAATAGGAGATACCAAGTGAAATCTCCAGTAAGATCGTGGAGGAAAATGAGAAAATTTTTGATGAATAGATTTCTACCACCCGACTATCAATAACATTTGTTTAATCAAATCAGAATTGCTTCCAAGGTTTCCAGAGTGTCATTGAATACACTTGATGGAAAGTTCTTTTGGCTAGGGGCATGTTGCAATCTCTTTGAAACTTCGGAACAAAAAGTTGCTCGTTATATAAATGGTTTGAGGTATGCCATACAGGAAAAGATGAGCCAAAATCATGCTTGGTCCGTAGATGAGGCTTACAATATATGGCTTTGCAAGCTAAAGCTATTGTTTCACAGTCCAACCAACAAAAACTGCCAACAATTGTACACCTGTGGTCTTCAAATTATGAAACACTACAGCACACTATTCACAACAATTCTTGCAATTTCCAGTCTGTAGCCATAAATAATGCAGATCCACCTAGAATAACCCCTTCAACAAAATCGAGCGGCGAGGCTTCCACAAAGAAAACATACCTGAACTCTAACACCACACTGATAATTGGAAGTTGTTTTTACTGTGAGGAGCTAGATAATCATTGCTCAGACGAGTGCAGAGCTCGAATGTCTGCTAATCTCATAAAAGAATATGTTGAGGATGATGGAGAAGGGGATGTCTATGAGGAAATTGACGTTAAAGTTGCAGAAGAAGTAGGAGATCCTGCGAATTATTGTATGCAACGCCTTTTATATGCAGAAGAGAAGAGTCCCACTACTGGAAATTCTGAAATTTCCGTCCACCTGAAAGTTATCTTAAATCAAGTTGAAAGCCTTGTTCCAATCACATTTGGTATCCGGAAAAACCACTGTTGCTTTTTCCGACCACTTTTTGCTTCAACTTGATTTAAGATCACTTTCAGGTGGTTAGAAATTCAATAATTTCCAGTAGTGTCCCAACCAACACAACATCTTTAGGGTCGGCGATAGCATGTTCGATAAAGTGTGTAAGCTCACCATTGATGATGGAAACTGCTATAACATCAATTCCAAAGTCCTTGATAGGCACCTTGGCTGGGAAATTGAAACTCAACCAAAAATGTACACAATGGAGGTTGATAAAAATGATGAAGACATTGTAAGGTGGGAGGTCATTGGTGCTGCTGTCAGTGTTGTGTACCCAAAACAACCCATGTCTGCTAATGTTTATTGGCATCAAGAGGATTCTAGAGATTTGAAGATTGAAGCTTCCAAGAATGTCATGATACAAAGGGAAATCAAAGACTAGATAACATCTACTGGTCGTAAACATTGGACCCGGACATTTCATTGCAAACAAGTTTTTGTAATTAGCAGGGATGTTATGCTCTTTTTAAGAAAGAAGTGTGTGCCTGCAAGAATATCGCACAAATTGAATCCTAAGAGATATGGTTATTCTAAGGTATGGAAAAAAAAAACAATTAATTATGTTTTCCATAAGTGAAAAAGAAAAATTTGAAGGTGCTCTGGCTATAATTTCATATATTACTCCAATGAGGTAACAGTGTAACACTGTATTTTGACGACTCGGGACGAGTCTTTCTCAACCAAGGGAGAATGATGCGGAACAAGAATTTAGGAAATGGTTATAAGATTTTCCCTAATAATATATATTATATATTATGGCCTTAATTAAGTGGTGCAAGTTGACTAGACTTATTAAGTGGTCTGGTTGGACTGAATAACTAGAAGTTGTTATTCAACCAGACTCTGTGTCTAATATAAACCTGGATCGTTGGGCTTCAGGATATTCATTATATAGCACATTAAGTTACAGTACTCATGCTGCTTAGTAGACACCAATACGCCATCTAGGGTTTTGAATCAAGTGTGGGACACATATGGCTAACGGTCTACCGTTCAAGGCAACACAACAAGAACATCAACTGTGGCTGGAGATCAACACGGCTATCGCTTCCGCTATTATACGAGGTCTGGTTTCTCGTATATTATTATTCAGTATAGTTAGATTATTTATGTCTAACAGTTGGTATCAGAGCCTTTATCATCTCTGCCCGGTTAATTGTATTGCCTGAAAAAAACCAACATTAATTTCATACATTGAGTTTTTCGTATATGGTTTGATTTTTCAATTACATTCAAATTTTATATTCAAGATATGCATGTAGGGATATATCTATTCGTTTTTATATAACGAAACATGTTTATTTTGAAATAATTGCTTGTAATTGTTTTTGGACTGCTAAAATCTATTTTTTGGCATTAAGTGAGGAATATGATTTTAGAAAAAAAAAAGTTTTTTTCTTTTTGCCCACTGCCTTGTCTTCGCCAGAGAGTTGCCAGTAGAATCGCCGGTTACCGTCACCATTTGACGATAGCAACAACGGCGAGCTTTAGGAGGTCGACGGCGGTCCGCGGTGCAGTGAGGTGAGACGAAGGCAGCTGGCTTGGGTTCGACGTCGGCAAGGTTTGGTGCCGCGATGAGGCTGCCCCCCATCTTCAGGCGGCCCTCCGGCAAGCGCTGGTTATCGCTTGTCGCTGCTACTCATGCCCCATTCAACGATGAAATGGATCTATGGCACTGCCGTGATGGACGATGGCGATCGCCGATGTTGGTGTCGTGACAAGGAGAGACGGTGGAGGTTTGCTAGGTTACCGGCTCGCCGCTACTGTCCCCCTCCCTTCAGGCGATGCTAGCTCCAGCCACCGTTTCTCCCTCATACAGGCATTGCAGGCTTCGGCGGTCACGATTCCATCTTCACGCAGGCAGTAGGGTTCATTGTTGTTGAGCTATGAAGAAGAAGATGATGGGTTGTAAATTTGGGCCGAGTCAGGCCCATTTTGGGCAGACCTGGTCCAGTATTAAATAAATTAAAAAACTCTGTGCCTATTTTGTTTATTTGGGGTTTGTTTCAGTTTTTCCATCATCATATTAAGGCTTCTTCTAGTTTAATTGTTCAGTTTAATTTCTCCTTAAGTAATTATTAAATTATCATTCAGTTCGGGCCAAATATTAAATTTTATTTTGTCGTTTGAATTTTAATTTAATGTTAAGGTATATATTAAATTGTCTCAAGTATTACAATTTATTAAGAAAATATGGGTTAATAATATATTAATCTGTAAATCCAAGGATGCTACATATATTTATAATTATTTTATTGATATACATTAATAAAAGCATGCATTAAGGTTGGATTTAGCATATTATTAACTCATAAATTTATTGTTAAAATAACATTCATTTTTATATCCTTAGGCCAATTTAGGACATTATGGCCTATCAAGGTAGCTTGTACTGGTTTCCCCTTAATTTTGAGCACATTTATGGTTTTTGTGTGTCTTCGGGACTTTAGAACTTTTTTTTTGAATAAGCTATTTGAGACCTATTTTGGGTCATTAAAGTATGGATCCCACCATTTTAATTGATATTTTAATAATAATTATACCTCCTTGTAAGATGTTTATTAAGTTTTAATTATTACTACCTACCATATTTTGGTATTCATCGTTTGTAATAATATTAAGTTTTGGGTCTATTTCAGTACTAGACCATTTATTGTTCATGTTATAATTCACTTAGTCCATTGAGATTTATGAGCATAATTTGAGTGATTAAGTGCTATAATTATTGTCTTGGCTTGTTTTTAAGACATTAAGGATTTAAAGATTTAATTGTTATTTTGGCCATCAAGGATTATAACTGTTGTTTAAGATTAATTAAGTTTTAATCTGTCAATAGTTTTCAAGGCCTTAATAATAATATTAAGTCTTTAATTTCATGGCAAAAGCAATATAGTTGGTATATTGTCTGTATAATGGTAATTTGATTGTTACCTTAACTTAAGTCTCCCTAAGAATCATAATAATAGTCATGTTTAATTATTATGTGGTAAATTGAGATTAGTATTTGGCATCCCTTAATTACAGTTTTGCTTTTATTGTA